TCTTGGGGAGAAAATAAACTTTCATGTTGCTCAAGCATTTAGCAATTGCTAACTTTTTGTTCCCACCCAGCAGTGAGACACCTGGTCAGATCAGGTGTCTGGACCAATATAGAGCTTAAAGCTCTGATTCTTCTGCCTGAGCAGATCCTTGGGGGCAACTATGGGCTGAGCCAGGCTTAACAGACAAGAGCTGTTTATCTGTTAAATTTTGGAATTTCGGCTCATTGTTTGACTCAATATAAGCAAGGAGATCTTCTCAGGAATACTAACATTCTTCTTTAAAGGATAGGTGATTCCGTCAAGTAGCAGATAAAATGGTCTCAAACTTTTACATATATTGTGGTCAATATAGGACAAAGGAATAAGAAATCATTATTTTGTGCAATTTTCTTTGGACATGTTAGCCACTTGGATTTTTTAATCTTCCATTATGATTTTTTCATGAATATTTTAGTTATAGAGAATTGAAGTACTTATGAGGTTATGCTACTGAAAAAGGTCCCAAAGCATTTGAGTCTTGCACTGTGTCTTGATCTCTCTGCTCCATCATTCTGTGAAAGGGAAGAAATGGTCATTTCTCAACGGGTTGTTTGAATGAGAGCCCAAGACTCTAGAGTCTATGCAGTACGGTTAATTTTTTTTTAGTTTCTATCCTGTCTCACTTCCCCTGAACCTATTAGAATTTCCATCTGAATATGTGTTCTTTTCCAAGAAGGCGATAAATTTGAGAATTGAATCAGTCATTGATTTGACTGACCTCTGATAGTAATCACTTTTCTCAAAGAAAAGTGGGGTTCTGATATAACCAAGTGTTTGTCTCTCAAAAAAGAATTGCGAAAATTATGATGTATGCTTCTAAATGAGGCATAAAACTGTTCACAGTATGTTCCATTCCAAAGAATGCTGAAGTGAAAACAGTTGTTAGATAAATACTGTTTTCTGAGTCGTTTAGCCTTTTTTCCCTACCAAACTTTGTAAAAAGAGGCCCACACTCATGTACATTTACATTTCAACCCACAATCTGCCTTCTTCCTCAACCTTCTTAGCACTAATACCTAGCATTAGTCGGTCAGTTCAAGATCACTGGCAGTCGTATTTGTCAAACCCAAGGGGAACACTATTCAGTCCTTATCGCTCTTTTATATCTTAATATTATTCATACTCTTACCTTCAAAACCCACTCCTGGGCTTTCTCACAGTGTCTCCTGGTCTGCTCTAAACTTTAGTACCACTATTCTTCATTCTTTTCTGGAACTGTTCTGAATCTTTCTTCCTGTCTCTTGTGACCCTAATTTTCCATCTTTACATTTAAAAAAAAAATTTCATAGACTCCTCCAATATGGTTTAATCCATTTCCTTGGCTTCAACAGCCACTATTATAATTCCCAAATATATTCCCATCCCTGAGCTCTGTCTTAGGCGTGAGACTCCAATTGTCTATATTTCTACCTGTGAGACCCTGGGATACTCAAAGTTTATATATCCCAAACCAGGTTCAACCTACTTCTCCCAGGGCCCACTTCCTAAATTCACCAGTATGACAATACAACCAGAGCACTTATCCTGGTGCCCAGGCTCGGCCTGTTCTCCCTGAGGTACATTTCTTGCCTTTCCGGGGGGGCTGTTTCCCAGGCTCTCCTGTCGGCTGGTTTCTGGCTCAGGTGGCTAGTGTGAGGCCCTCATAGGAGATTGGAGGGTGAGAGGAGAGGAGAAGCTAAGGCATTCACACACATTCATCCAGCCAGACCGTGTGAAACAGCCTCCCTCTTTCTCACCTCTCCATAGCCCCTGCCATTGACTTACAGCTAGTCCTCATTTCTCCCCTACATTTTGGTAATAGAGCTTATGTCCTTTAAGTTATATCTCATCTAGTTCATTCTCTACATTGTTGGAAATGAGCTAAGGTGATAATCAGATATTTACCTCCCATTTAAGCTGAAACTGATAGCCATTTTCAAAGGAAAATCAATTGAAGGAGCTCTTTTCGAGTAAGTCACTGTGCCTTGCAAGTGCTTGTTCGACTTGGCCACAACTGACTGGCCTCACGTTATCACCTAATCTGAAGGTACCTGGCCTAATATGTGACCTTTCATTGTTTTTAAATCTATTTACTTGCCATTTTTTCCCCTCATTAGACTAAGCAACTACAGGACTAGGATTCTAAATAGTTTATTCTTGTGTGGTCCTGCTTGGAGGTCTCCAAGAAATTAATACATTCATTGTGGGAAACTTTGTCCAGTTAATGGGAGACTTCAGGGAGCCAATGTTGTATGGTGGGAAGAAAGCTGGAATTAAGTTCTGGCTCTGATTATTTGCATAATCACAAAGTATCTCAACCTCTGTGCCTAATTTTTCACATCTGAATTGTAGTTAGATGTTTAAACATATAGCTCAGTAACTTCTGTGTTCTTTGCAATGCTGTGAGTGCCCATCAAGTCTGGCCCTGGGATTCGCTTCTACTCATACCTCATCTCTACCTCACCCATGGCCAGGGTAAGGCTGCCTTGGTGGCATTACACAACTGGTTAGAGGGTCCATGTCCCGGGCTCTAATTATTTCTTGTTGCTTTATTTTGTGGAATGGAGAAGGGGTTTGTAAATTAAGTTGCACAGAATCCTTTTTGCATAATCAAGGTAGGCTTCAAGATGTAAATAACATAGACCATATCAGTCTGAAAGCAGATCCACATAAAGTTTTAATTTCAAATATAGAGGACAGTATGTAAAATTGATTTTATTTAACACACATGTATGTATATCAAATATAAAATCAGTTGAACTGATAGATCTAGGTCTGGTTAAATTTTCTAAGTAGATCATAGAAAACAGAAGATTGGCAACTATCATTTTTTATATGCTTCTCATCTATAACAAGAGTTTTGCCATTATAAATTTGATATTGCGGGAAAACATTTTTTTCTATTTGACAGTAGTAATATGAAATAGAAAATGGAAAAATAAGAAGTATAACCATATTCTGAAAAATTAATTTTTTAAACAACAAATCCTTATATATTTGCTTGTCCTTAGAAATATATCTAGCAGAACAAAGATCTGGAATATCCAATATACACACAGTCACCATATTAATATATTTTTCAGGAACCAACTTTCTGACTGACGGGAAATGATGCATGACTCCTCTCTGATAAGTTACTCAAACATAAGGATTTGGCTGAAGTCTGTTGACACTTTCTTGACATATTTGCTCTCCACCCTCACAATTACAGGCCTTTATTTGAGATATTTAGGACCATAGCTAGTGTCCTAATAGATCCCCTTGCCCTGACTTGCCCCATGCCCCCATCCTTCCTTCATGCTTTTGGGAGTTCCTTTCTGAACCCCAAATCTTCATTGCCTCTTCATAAAGTCCACATTTTTTTGGTCTACACAAGACTTGCACCACCTGATTTTTTCCTTTCCCACATTTCATTAGCCTTTCCCTGCTCTAGCCTCTGAACCACTTGCATTTACCCAAATGCCCCCTGCAGTTTCATGCTTTCAAGTCAACTAATAGACTACCTCACACTTATGTGCCAGGCATGTTGTGGGCAGTTTTCATGCATTTGCTCATGCTGTTCCCATTGTGTAAAATGTTCTGCCCAAATCTGTCCATTAAAAAACACCTCAGTTTTCCAAGTCTCAATATATAGTCCCTATAATTTTGGCCTCATCAGTTAAAACCATCCACTTCTTTTTCTATGCCTTCAGTCAGCTATTGTGTCAAGTCTTAATGCTTCTATATCCACGTGGCCATAAACTTTGGGAAAAAGGTCCATCATGGACCTTTTCATCCCAAACACCTGCATAGTACCTGACTCTTGCATTATTTCACCTTAGCCCCATGAGTCCTGTTTGACCTTCACCTGGGTGTGGCAAAGAACAAAATAAGCATCAAGAAGCTGCCTCAGATACTACCTGATTACCATTTCATAAGTGAGAAGTTTAGAAATATATGAGATCATATATGGCAGGACCATAAAGATGAATCTTAACTGATGATGCCATCTAGAAATTCATTACAAGACATATTAATGGTTTAGGATTTCTTCCTCAACCACAATCAGGGATATTTCCACTTTTTTCTACTTAGTTAAGCAACTAATCATGCTGAGCCAACAAAACAAAAACTCTCCTTTTCTCTGAAGTTCAACAAATTCTAGTATTGTGGAACATTTAGTAAATAAAACCTTCCTCCAGTTCCCTCTTCCCCTAAATTGTGAAACAACACATTGGTGTAATAAGATCACCTCTTACTGTTTCTCACCTTAATGCTGGCATTGCCTCCTTCAGAGAGATTTATCTGACAATTTAATGTCTTCTTTCCCTGTATTCCCATAGCACTGTGTACACTTTAATATGAATAGTTAAAAATGATTAATTCTAGACCATGACATTGAAACAGGTCAGTGCCTGGCATATAGTGAGCACTCAAGTGAGTGATGAATTGAATCCTGCTTTAAGGATGTGAAGTGAGCCAAGCCTAATTATATTAATTACAACCTTAAGTACTTCCCTTGGCATTCAATCAGGGATTATTACCTTTGAACACAGATTTAACATCAGACAGTGGTTTTTGCAACTTGCAATACTAAAGTCTACAAAAAGGTGTTATTTATTAGGACACCATATTTAAAAAAAATGGATTTAAACAATTGCTACAAGGGTAATATACAGTAAGTGAAAAAACAGTAATATAATGCATTTCTCACCGTGGTTGTTTTTTCTTTAAAGAATAGTTTATTGATTTTGAGAGAGAGGAAGGGAGAGAAACATCAATTGGCTGCCTCCTGCATGTCCTCTACAGGGAATCGAGCCTGCACCAGGGCATGTCCAGACTGGGAATGGAACCTGCAACCTTTTAGAACATGGGACTCCCAACCAACTGAGCCACACCAGCCAGGGCTCATGGTTGCTGTTATGTGTACTTAAAATAATTTTAAGTAGTCAGAATAGGCCCATAGAACAACTTTATTCTGTGGTGTTACCATTTTATGTTTTAATTATTCAAAATATTTAAATGATTAAACACAAAATTAAACTCCAACTGAATTTGTTGTGGGTAAATTAGTGGTGATAAAATATCAGTTACTAAAATCTGCTCTTAAATTAGTTCTGGTTGGATCACTGAGTGACTGATCCCACCCTCCTCATACCACTCATTATGTGACTTACTATTTTGATTCTTGGTAGTTTATAAAATAACTTTAATACTTGAAATGGAAGTCTAGCTTTCAGCTTAACTTCAGAATTTGTTAATTTTGGAAAAGTACTTGAATGCTTGCTTTAACACCAGTACATCTCAACTAAATATTAAAACAGCCTCAGTATAATCAATTTACATGCCTGGCGGTACTAAGACGCTTACAAATAACAAACGGTTATTTCCTTTGGTCCTACTTGTTTGGGGCTTATATGGCATTCTTCTTTTAAGGATGTAAGCTATACTTACTTGCCAATGAAATTGGGAGAAAATGACTAGAAAACAAATTTGAGGGCTTTTAAAAATTATACAGTACATTACTAAGTGCTCTAAAAGCTAAACCATCCAATGTCATGTATGCAAGTCACACCACAGGCAAAGGCATAAGAAAATGGACTAAACTTGCTATAGCATTCACCTCTACAAATGCTCTATAATAACCACAGTGGTATGATAATAAAGCAGTTAACAAACTTAATTTGTCATCAGTCTGAGTGTATGTGGATATCTGCATATTTAATTGGTACATATACATCCCAAGTATCCAAATTATTTCAATCCTATACCCATTTACCTCTCAGAGTGGTTTAAAGTAACCACAGTGACACATAAAGGGGGGAAAAAGGATGCTAGGCTTCCTATTAAGTAAAGCTATATCAAATTGTTCAACTGATATTATAGTAACTATTTCTGCAGGAAAACACAGATTCCTATAGTTCTGGCCAGTCACTTTATCAGTAAACCTTAATTTTGCTAATATGGTTTCAACTAATGAAGTATTCTTGACTCATTGGGAATTATAATACATGAAAAAAAGATTGAGGAAATTTTTTTTTTTTTTTTTTTTTTTTTGGCCAATCATCAAACATGTTTTCATCTGAACAAGGGAAATTCTTTCAGTTTAATGTAAGTTTTCAATGAAACAGGATAAATTTACAATGAAGTTGGTGATCTTCATTCAGTAAGTCTTCTGATCTTCAGATTCTGGCCTAACAGAGAAGAGCAATGATTACAGGAGGAAAAAAAATCTCCTGTGGCCATCATCTTAGAGGCTGGTTTTCTTGTAATGATGAATTCTATCACAAGTTGTCAGGTTTCCAAGATTTGCACAGTGCTTTAAAATGGAACTGCCTGAGGAAGATTCAGAAAGCCTTGTTCTTGGGCTTACACAGTAAGCACTTTGTGTGATTCTTAATCACATTTTTAACCAGAACACAATGTTACAGGTCACATTTTTCTCGACGATGCTTATACTGATTTGTGCTCTATAAATATAAACAAATTTACACACTAAATACACACACTGACACGAGGATGTGAAGTTAGCCAGCCATCCATAAGCAGAATGGAATAAAAATTGCAGGAAGAGTAGTATATGATGCCAAGCCCAGACAGATTATAGATGCCAATCCCAAGAGTGCCGAAGCAAGAACACTTCTCTGATCACGAATAATTATCTTCAAATTCTCACAAAACTGGAAAATAAAATTTAAGAATGTCAGAAAAGGTGACTAAGCCTGAGAAAAATCACATATGCTAAATAATAAAGAACAATTTTCCCAGCTATTTTCTGTCTACCAGAAGAACTAGAATTTCTCTTAGAACTTCTGAAAGAATTTAAATGTTGAAAGTTCAGTTTCTTGAATCCACATCCTGTGACAGCCCGCTGAAATAACACCTTTGGAAAATGGGTTAATAATGGAGTTGCCTTTGTAAATACTTTGATAGAAAAGTACAGAGAATGTGACCACATAAAAATTTAGGACTAAACGTTAAAAGCATTAAATTGTCTATCAATAACAATATATTCTAATATTAGATGAGCAAAGAGATCTCTAATCTCAAATAAATACATTGTCCATTATTATTGGTGAATTCAATTCCTACAATTAACCATTCTAAAGTGTGGTGATATAATAACTTGTTAACTTTCTAACTCAAGTTTAAGAGACAACTTTGCAATTCTCATGTTAAGCTGGTAATAGTTGTACATAAAGGAGAATTCAAAAATGAGATCCAGAACCAAATAATTCCTCATTGTTTCTGGAAAGTAGAAACCAGTCCTTCTTTAGCATTAATGACCTACTTCTCACAGAGCATGTCCAATAAGCAGTTCTGAGAAATAGAAAAATTGGGATGGGGATTTTTTCCCCCCCAGGAAGTCTACTCTGTGGCCAGACTGTTAGACCATTCAAAGTGAAGACAAAAACTCAAGTTTCACAAGAGATGCTATGCAGCAACAGCAATTAAAACCCTTCTCTACTTCTGTAAAACCCTACGAAGTTTCCAAAGATGAAAAACTACTCCAACTATTTATTTATGCAGATTAAATATCTTACTACCTTAAAAAAGTACTTGTACTGTTTTTCTGTAGAAATATATAATACAGAGCTATATGTGTTCCACGAGAAGGTTAACTCCTAATTACAAGATAGAAATACTGTTTCCTTGGAGAAATCATTTGCTTCGTTCCTAAGTAAATCTGGCATGTTTCCTTTTGTACATTTTTGGAGCCCATGTTTGTAAATGTGGTGAAGTTCATTTTTAAACAGGCCTGGAGCTGTGGTTCTGGAATCACTGCACAGTGCTCTAACTGTATTTTAATTTACCTATGAAAGCATTCCTAGATTGAGTCTGTTGTGGCTCTATTAATAATCATGAGGAGTTTGATATACTGATGTATAAAAGCATAATACTTTCATGCTCTGCCACAGAGGAAAGATTTCCCACATGGGTCAAAAATTTAATCAAAATATAGAGCAATAAAAAATATCAGTTAAACGGACTCAGATTATTTTGGTCCCCAAAATATCTAAACATAAAGAAGAGTCAACGGCCAGGCGTGGCTCGGCGGTTAAGCATCGACCTAGGATCCAGGCGATCAGGGTTCGATTCCCGGTCAGGCACATGCCTGGGTTGCGGGCTCGATCCCCAGTCGGGGGTGTGTAGGAGGCAGGCGATCAATGACTCTCTCATCATTGATGTTTCTCTCTCTCTCTCTCCTTTCCTCTCTCTGAAATCAATAAAGATATATTTAAAAATAAATAAATAAATAAATAAATAAGAAGAGTCAAACGTGCAGGTCATTTTGTGATTACCTGGGTTTCCATTGTTAAGAGTGAACATGAACAATGCCTCTTTAACCACAGGATAGGCTGAGAAAGCTTCTAATTGCAAATGAAGTTGCAGGCATTCTTCAAAATGTTAGCTATTTGTAAAAGTTAAGAGGTTTTGAAAGGAACTAAGCATTCCTATTCTCCCCTCCCCACCTTGGACTTGTGGCTAATTTAACCATCTTAAATTCTGATTTTTTTTTTTTTTACTTCACACATTAAAATTACCTTCCAACAATTAAATGGCTCTTCTTGAAAACCAATTGTTTTGATCTCTAGGAGATCCATAAACAACCTAACCCATCTTTGGGGCTAATGGATAAAGGATGCTTAACAATGAGGGAGTCTACATGGGGATTAAAGCCAATATAAAAATTTCAAAACACCAAGGAAAAGACGTGTCTGAAGCCCAGACACAAGAGTAAGAGATCTACTGGGGAGGTCTTCTTACTGGGAATTTTGATAGTTTATATTAAGCAAAGGGAATTCACTCTCTGCTGCTCACAGAGGGTGAACACTGCAAGCTTCCTTAGTTTAAGTGCACACTTCGCACACAGTGTTACGGATTAAATATAAACTCTGGACATCTTCCTTCCAGGTGAAATTCTTGCGAAAAGTTGCAAGCACACGGCGGATTGTCATTTCAACTACGCTGGGTGGACACCCTGATGACTTCTGCAGCAATGACCCGGGAGCGCTCTCGGAATGGGCAGCGGTCCGGCACCGCCACGCTCCTCGCCGCGCCTTTCGAGAGACCCTGCAAGGCACATGGCCATTTCCTCACATTGTCTCCCTTAGGGACGCCAGACCCTCCGTTACTCAATCCGTAACTCGGGCCTGATCCCAGGGGAGAGAAATGGTTAGGGATGGGAGTGGGGCGTCCCCGCCCGGCCCCCGAGTGAGACGCTGTACCTTGTCCGCCTGGGGGCTGACGGCGGTGCCGTATCTGCAGTAAGTCACGAAGTGCTCGCAGTTGTTCCACAGCAGGCTGTAGGGGGTGATGCCCAGCAGCTTCTCCGCCCTCAGCGCCACCCCTTCGTTGGGCAGGGCCTTCTTCTTGAGGGACTTGTCCAGGTGGTTGACCAGGATTTCGGCTCCGTAGGCGAAGTCATCCACCGTGTCCACGCGGATGCTAGCCACCCTGCCGATAACGCCCAGGATGAGACGCTTGTTGGAGACCACCTTCTGCGTGAGCCCCCGATCCTCGGTCAGGGCCAACAGGATGTCGGGCATCATGTGGGCGACACGGTTGTCGCCCAGGTAGATGCCATAATGGGTCAGGTGGGTCCGGGACACCTCCAGGACGTCGCCCCGGCGGAAGGAGTTGATATCGTGGAAACTGCTCCTCGCCTTGTCTTCACCCGGGGCGCCCGAACTGAAGAGCTTGAAGTTGGACATGAGGAACAACTTCTCCAGCAGGAGGGACACCGCCTCCAGCATTGGGTTCTTCATCCTGCAGGGAAATGAGGGTCTTGGGGGACCGCCGCCCCTCCGGCACCGGCCGGGCCCGGCAAGGCGAGCTCGCCAGACAGGGGCGCTGCACCGCCACTCACCTGCGGACCAGCGGACCAACGCCGCGGGGGAGGGCGACAGCCCAGGAGGGAGGACGCGGGGAGGAGCCGGGGGCCGCGCCGCACTGGGGGCTGAGGAGAGGGAGGAACTAGCGGCGGCTGACCGTGGGGACAGTGCGATCAGGGCTGCGAGCCGCACGCAAAGCCGCGCACCTGGACTCCGGGGCGAGCCA